TCAAAAAAGATTGGACATTCAACACTGATTACTATTATGTATACCAAATATTGTGTTTCAGTTTTCACATTTTTTTGGTTAAAAAGAAATTTTGTTCATGAATTACACGATTCATGTTCTTTTCCTTTCTGACATTCCATTTCCATGTACCAACCAAAAGAAGACAAATTCGAATATAAGAGCTCTCCATTAAATATTCGATAAAATTTTATTAAAGTACTAATTAAGAACTCACAACTCTGAAAATACCAAATAATTCAACCTGAACCAAAATAAACGGTAAGGCCACTCCACCACTTGGGGCACTTCCCAAACCATACAGTTGCTCATTACGTTGTATGAGGTTCTGAAGACCAGTGTACTGCATAAAAAAATGAATAAATAAATAAATAAAATATAAGCACCTCAGACATATTATTTCCAAAAGGGATCAATTTCCAGCGAACCCCAGAAAAACACAGGAAAAATAATTCAAATTTATGTACTTGTTCCTCCAGCTCGTCAAGATATGCAGCTTTCTTTGCAATTCTATGTCTCAGTCCAATACGTTCAGTCTGCAATTAAATATATGTTAAATTGGGTTAGCTGAAATAAAAATTTAAATTACAAAAGGAGATAAAGAAGTCTAGCCTTTAATTCGTCAATGTCACTCAAGCTCGTCCTAGGCAGACCCTTCCACTGAATTTCCTTTCTATCTTTAGAAATTATATCCATTGCCATTAGCACGTTGAGAGCATCATATACTCTTCGACGTATATTCTTCTCATCATATTGTTGCTGGAATATACAATGAAAATTGAACATATAATGAAATTGAAAATTTTATAGCACAAATATTGGTTTTCTTAATTTACTTAAAGGAGGCATGGTGAAAATTTGAAAAACGACCATATACCTGGTCTGGTGTTGCAACATTATTGTTGGGATCTGTAAATTCAGCAACAGGTTCATCTGCCACCTGAAAAGATGGTTAACAATATTACATGTTGGAGAATTTATAGATTTTTTTTTAAAAAAGAAAAATAAGAAAAAAAGAGGAAGCATCAAATGCCTTCTATTTATACTGCATTTCTAAAATAATATAGTTATGATAAAAAATTGATAGGAAAAGACGATAATCTGAGCCATCTAACCTCATTATATGTAGTTCTCCCTTTGCTTTCCACTTTCTCGCAAACTATCCACAAGAAGAGAAAAAAAAAATTGGTTAAATTTTTAAAAATAATGTATATAGCAGATTGCCACCCCCACCCACCCCAAAAAAAAGAAAAAAGAAATACAACAAATTCTTATAGGCAGTCTTCACTGCCGCAAAATTACCATGGTCCACAAACTACAAAGTACAAACCTTATTTAGGTGACTCAAAGTCATGACAATTTATTGTCAACGACTGCTTGACAGCCAGTGTAATTACTAAAAGGTGCTCCAAGAGATTGCATGTGCAGCATTCACAATATAGTCACATGTATGTGGCCTAATATGTATATTACAGTGAAAGAGCATAAATTATCATACACAGTATTCAACTTGTTTACAGCACATATTCTTCCCAAGACGTGTAGCTTGGCCAAAGAAAATTGCAATTCTTGTTGGATATTCTAAATGCAAAACCCATGGAGAGAATTTTTTTTTCTAGAAGAATTAAGAAGTCAAGTCAAGATTCATCTAATTTGTGGTGACTGGTATCTCCCTCATATTCTCCATCAACTTTGTGTTTTAACTCATTGTCCCTTCTAAATTGATAGTCCACAATTTGGTCAAACCGCAGAATATAACAGCACAATCAATAATCAAATGAAAATACACCTTAACAAATGTTCTCTACCACACTCGTTGAAACTCAATATTATTTAAGTTAGGATGAGAGGAAAAAAAAAAAGGAAAGGAATAAAGTCTAGTTGAAATGTGCAGCAAAAACCTTTCATGCTAAACTGGCGAAGCCCTCGACCACTTTTATCACCTCCAACTGCACATTGGCCTTTCTTCTTCTTCTTCCTGTCATTGACAACATGAATACAGTTAGAGAGTACTGCTTCACATTCATCCTTATCAACATCTGAGAGATTCATATTACCAAAGATAGGCGATTATAATAGTTTCAATCATTCAAATGGGGAATTGTTAATGAAATACACATCTTGTCCACCACTTATAACTATTTCAGTGTCTCTTCCAAATATTTCCACACATCATGAAACTTGTATTCTGTTCTTTCACTCTTATCCAAAAGCCATATCATCATAACCTATATATCCACAATTGTGCTTAGTGACAGAGAGTGCAACAATATTAAAGAAAAAAAAAAACAAGTCCATCTCACAAACAATAAAACAACCTCATTAGTTTTTGAGTCTATAGTTCAATGATAAATTCTTTCAAAATGCACAACCTACTATACCTCGATCATATTCATAGCACATTGGCAGCTAGCCCGACTCACTCACGACTGTGACTAAAATCTTAACTCACATATCAAATACATTCATTTACTTATAAAAAACGTCAAAGTCATATTACATTTTCATTAAGGAAGAAAAGGAAAAGAAAACTGACAATTCAAGCAAGTTCTTAAACACATTTTATATAACCAAATAAGGGGTTTTAGTAATCGTTAATCTACAGCAACTGCAAATACTCAAAAAAGAAGAAAAAGAAAAAAAAACCAAGGCTCACCCAGCAGGCTCCTGAGACCCTGCATCATCCCCTTGAATTTCGAGATTGTTTAACCGAACAAATGTGCTATCACTAGCTGGTGTTACTATGGCAGCCTCACTCCAGCTCGAGGGGGACCCCAAGCTGCCGCTAGTCGACACAGATTGGCCGGAAATAGTGGGGCCCCACGATCTGGTAGCTCCACCACCACTTCTAGAGATGGTTGATAGGTTCTTTCTCCCATCTGCCTGATTAATGATGCTATCACCATTCCTATGGTTCACCATTTTCACAGCTCAACACAAACATTTAACACCTCAGTGAGGAATCAAGGTGTTTCTAGGGGAATTAAACGAATATTTGATGAGTACTAAGATAAATTAGGTATTTGAGATGAACCCATGTGAGAATTGAGCTAAATAAACTCAAAAAAAACTACCAACAGCCTCAGCTAATGAATCAGCCCAGACAAAATGTGCTACACTATGAATTTCTACTAAAGAAAGGATACTATCAAATACCCACCAAAAATCTCCAGACCAAACGACGAAATAGTACTACAGCTTCACAGAAAAAGAGTACACAATAAAAGAGAACTGCCCAAGTCAAAAACGAGCCAGAGAGGGAGATGTTCGGAAGGGATGGACCAGATTTCAAGCCGTAAATATCCAAATATGTCATGGTTATTGAAAATCACGGGACTCCACAAATTACATTCAGAAAAACGACATGGGTACCAAAAGTAGAGGAGAGAAGGAAGGAACGTCAGTTATGAAAAAAGTATTAGTGCGATGTCCCTTTTGTCTCCTTCCTCCGTAATCTGTCGACCACTTTACAGTACATAAACAAAAGCAGCGAGATCAAAATGCTTTCTCTGGTTTCATTTGAGATTTGCTGAGGGTTTGCCTGTTTTTCATGATCTGGGCTGAAAGGCCAAAAGGGAAGAGTCTGGTAGGACGAGCAAATTGGAACGAAGAATTAGAGAGGGAAATATTTCAACTCTCTAAAGAGGGTTTTAATTTTTATTTCTGAACATTTTTTAATTACATAGTGTGAAATTACTATTAAACTAGTATTCGACCTGTGCATTTGCACAGATATAAATAAATTATTGTGAGTCTGTACATATAATGATTAATTATTTTTCTTTCACTTTTTTGCAGACCAAATTTACAATTAAAATAGTTGGATTTTTTTTTTTTTATAAATTGCGTTTATCTGATTGGATGTAATGTATATTTTGGTACGTCTTTTATTTGTGAATTATTTATTATTTATTTAGGAATTTCAAATATATTTTTTATTTAAAAAAAAATTAAATGTAACAACAATAATAACATCTAATCACATTATACGGTCAACACATTATATGGTCAACTGTTATTAATCAAAAGTTTAAAATGATTTTTATAATTTTGAAGTGATGAGTATTAATTATTTAATGATTAAATGAAAGATTAAATACATCAAAATGTAACGGTTTTTGGAGGGAAAATTGTTAAATTGCCACATAGGTAAAATTAAATAGGTTTTATTAAATTCTATTAGCTAGTAATTATATATATATAGATGCAAGATTGGCTGTATGATTTAATTACATGCACCTCTCAAGATATAATGTAGAGTGAATTTATGAGATCGTTCTTGATTTGGATGTGCATTATTGCCCACTTTGAAGAATTAATTTTACTTTTACTACTTGTTTATTTATTGCTCTTGTTTGACATTTAACTAGTATAATTGATAGCTGATTGTGTTAGCATATATCAAATTGTATTAGTTGTTTTTACTATCGAATTCAATCATCGATTTGTCAAATAAATGTTATCTAAATAGCAAAAAATTATAGTTGTTATGTTGTATTGTTTGAAACTTTTTTTTTTTATCAAAATGTTGTTCTTTTAAGCTTTTTCAAATTACCTAAAAGTTAATATAAAAATTTCGTGACAAAACAACTTGTTATGTTGTATTGTTATAAAATATTCGGTTTTATGCATACCATTTGAGAGAAATTATCATATAACTATCCAATATGATCCAATTACTCATACTAATCAAAAAATATAAGTTGGGCATCGAAGTTTAATAATTCGTTTCTAAGTGGACATTATTTTTACTTTATTCACTACACATAAATTTATTTTTATTTTTTATTTTTCTTAATAATATGTGCTTCAAGCACTACATATAAATTTATGTATGTAGCTGTCAACAATATATTCGATAATATGCATCTTATTAAATATACAAACAAATATAAATAATTGAGAAACTTGTATATTTATTCGAACTATGTGACATTATGGCTACCATATTTCATGCGTATTTCACACATATTCAGATAGATATACAAAATAATGAAATATGTGAATACTTTTATTTTATAACTCTCAAGTTGAGGTGTGAATGTTCAGTATATTTTCTCATTTATTATTGACAATGTCCACTAGACATCATGCATGTGTTAACATTTTCAAATTTCACCAAATAATGTTGAGAATGTAGAATACATACCACACAAGATTTGTTTCATACATACAATGACAATTTAAGTAAAAGAAACATATATAATAAAAATATTTTTTCATCATATATCTCATTAAACGAATTGTGATTTTTGTACGATGTGCTTCTTGCACTAGTACGATCTCAATGGATTTCTAACTAGTAACTGTATCTTGTCAATGAGTATTAATTTGGTTGGATGTCATTATTGTATATTAGTTTGGGAATATAAATTATTTATAGCAAATCATAAAATGATTTGTAGCAACTTAATTTGAATATATTGATAAAGACATACTCATAGCCTAATCATAATTTCATTGTTCATACAATGCTTGCATAAGTATTATCATTGACGCAGTACATAAGAACTTCATCGCCACCTTATAGACTATCGATAATATAAATTATAAATTATAATCTTATAGACCACTAATATATGATTGTAATTATTATGTCGATTGATATTTAGTTTTAATGTCCACATGTTACTACTGGTATATATATGAATCTTATAAATTTCAATAAATGAATAATAAATCATAAATCAACAATTATATCATGTCATCCGGCCCAAGCCCGTTGTTCAATTTTATAGTTTAGGCTCGATAGCCAGCCCACCAAACTATATGATGAATTGGGCTGAAATTTTTCACACCCACAGAAGAGCAGGCCTAAATATAGCTGGTGTACAGAAAAACCAGCTCTTATATATAACTTGAAAAGGCCGAAGAAGAAACAAAATCCTGAAATCCTCTCTCATCTCGCTCACCCGCCACACCACAGCAGAGCGGGCACCACTCCCAAGAAGCTGAAGCTCCTAAAGGTAGAATCCCCAAATTCCTAACTCTGTGGGTTGTGAATTCGGGTAATATAAGATGGCGAAAACCCTAGTCCAAATTTTATGGGTTTTTTTTGCTTTGCGGAAAAAAACAGAGTTCAGTATTTGCTCAGCTGAAGAATTTGAACAGGCGAAAAAAGCTTCCTTCTCTTCCTTCGTAAGAGAATTTGCCATAAATTTTAATATCCATTTGAAACTGGATTTTGTTGGCGTGAAGTTGCAATCGTTCAGTTATTTTCGCATATTTATTCGTCTGCTTGAATGGTTCCTTCCACCTTGAAATTAGTTCTCAAATTTCTATGAATATATATTTGTATGTATCAGACATTTTCTTGATTATAAACTAAACCGGAAACAAATTCTTTAGCTTGTGTACTCTTCGAAGTGAAGCCATTGTTGCATCAGCATGTGTTTGATATCTTGTTTCTTCTGGGTCGGGCCAGCCTGCGCAACACCTCGGCCCGGGGTTGGTGTAGGCCGGGTTGGGTTTCAGTAGGCCCCACCTGCCGACCTATTTCGACATGTCTAGAACTAGAAGTAAACATAAGCTGAAATCTCAGTTACAGACCAGGAAAAATCATTGTATTAAGAAAAAACAGGATAACCTGTGGGCCTGCCAGGGGTTTCCCAGACAGTGGAAAAGCGGGCCGAACCATTTTAGGCCATCCCGTGTTGTCTGTCATGGAAGTATATCCGCCATAGGCTATCTCAATTTATCTATTTTTCATGCTATCTTTATTTATTTTCTTATGAAAATTGTTTTTTCATTTTTTTTCCTTTATATTAATTCTTGTTCTAGGGGTTTAAGACCTTATCAAGCTACAGAACAAGGGTTTCTTCTCCAATTCAATGGTTCCAGCTTCATCATCAGTTAACTGATGCTAAATACCCTCAGTTTTTGTTAAGGTAATCAAATTTTTCTCAAAGGTAGTCAGACAGGAAAATGGTTTTCGGTCAGGTGGTTATAGGACCACCAGGCTCCGGCAAGACCACCTACTGCAATGGCATGTCTCAATTTCTCCAGCTCGTTGGCCGGTATACTCACTCAACCTTATTTGTACCCGTTCAGTCTCTATCTTTATTTATGACAACTCATGGTATGGGTATGCTTATATGTATCGACTGGTAGGATAGTATAAATTTACACTGATTAGTGTAATTTGAGTACGAGTCTTTTAATTTCTTGTTATGCAAAGCCAAAAAATGCCCTTGTTATGTCTCCTGTTGTTAAGAGTTGGGCTTAATTCAGTTTGTAGTTGTTCCTCCCTTTTATTTGAGTTCTTATAAGGCACAAAATCTTTGGTTTTGAATGGATTGCAGGAAGGTTGCAGTGATTAATTTGGATCCAGCAAATGATTCTTTGCCGTATCCATTTCAGTTTGTTCTGTTTTTTGGTTTTGATGGTGTATAGTGTATTGGTGTGCCATTGGTTTAATATGTATTTGTGCTCAGCANTTTTTTGGGGCTTTTATATGAGTTATTTACTTATAATTACAAAGATATGATTGTGCTATAAACATCGAGGATTTAATCAAGCTTTCTGACGTCATGGGCGAACATTCCCTTGGTCCTAATGGAGGTATGACCAATATATGTTGACGATAAACGAAAAAGTCCTCAACAGCTGAAATTATTGGCCTTTTTGTTGCACTTATTTGTTGTTATTATTTTCCCAGTCTTTTTATCCATATAATGTGTTTATGCATGTATGTGTGTTGGTTTTGCCTAAACACAATAGATGGATCAGCCCCTGGTGGTCAGTTATAAAACAGATGGATGAAGTTTTCAAAACTGGATGCAACAGATAACATTATTCATCCATTCTAAAGTCTTCAAAAGGATTTCTGGATGTAGTTAATATTGATTGATATATTATGTCATTTCTATTAATAGTTCAATTTTTTAAGCCATTCCCGATGGCAGAACTCCTTAACATATGAAAAACATTCTGTGTCTTTCAGGTCTCATTTATTGTATGGACTATTTGGAGAAAAACATCGATTGGTTAGAATCCAAACTGAAACCTCTACTCAAAGGTTCCTACTGTCTTTTTCATGTCCATCAACAGTAATGTTGTGGTCACTTGAGCATTTCACACG